GATTTTTAACTAAATATTTTTTTTTAATTTTTAAAATTAGTTTTTTTTCGAAATTTTTCTAACAAAATTATTTTAGGAATGATTTTTAACTGAATAATAATTTTTTTTAAATAATTTTTAAAATTAGTTTTTTTTTTTCGAAATTTTTCTAACAAAATTATTTTAGGAATGACTATTTCAGCCACTTATAATTTTTTTTAATTTCAAAATTAGTTTTTTTTCGAAATTTTCTAACAAAATTATTTTAGAACGATTTTTAACTAAAATTTTTTTTTAATTTTTAAAATTAGTTTTTATTTTCGAAATTTTTCTAACAAAATTATTTTAGGAATGATTTTTAACTGAATAATTTTTTTTTAAATAATTTTTAAAATTAGTTTTTATTTTTCGAAATTTTTCTAAAAAATTATTTTAGGAATGATTTTTTAACTAAAAAATTTTTTTTAATTTTTAAAATTAATTTTTATTTTTCGAAATTTTTCTAACAAAATTATTTTAGAATGACTATTTCAGCCACTTATAATTTTTTTACTTAATTTCAAAAATTAGTTTTTGTTTCTTGAAATTTCTCTAACAAAATTATTTTAGGAATGATTTTTAACTGAATAATAATTTTTTTTAAATAATTTTTAAAATTAGTTTTTATTTTTCGAAATTTTTCTAACAAAATTATTTTAGGAATGACTATTTCAGCCACTTATAATTTTTTTACTTAATTTCAAAAATTAGTTTTTGTTTCTTGAAATTTCTCTAACAAAATTATTTAGGAATAATTTTTAACTAAATAATAATTTTTTTTTTAATTTTTAAAATTAGTTTTTATTTTTCGAAATTTTTCTAACAAAATTATTTTAGGAATGACTATTTCAGCCACTTATAATTTTTTACTTAATTCAAAAATTAGTTTTTTTTTTGAAATTTCTCTAACAAAATTATTTTAAGAACGATTTTTAACTAAATAATTTTTTTTTAATTTTTAAAATTAGTTTTATATTCGAAATTTTTCTAACAAAATTATTTTATAGGAATGATTTTTAACTGAATAATAATTTTTTTAAATAATTTTTAAAATTAGTTTTTATTTTTCGAAATTTTTCTAACAAAATTATTTTAGGAATGATTTTTTTAACTAAAAATTTTTTTTAATTTTTAAAATTAATTTTTTTTCGAAATTTTTCTAATAAAATTTTTAGGAATGACTATTTCAGCCACTTATAATTTTTTACTTAATTTCAAAAATTAGTTTTTGTTTCTTGAAATTTCTCTAACAAAATTATTTTAAGAACGATTTTAACTAAAATAATTTTTTTTTTAATTTTTAAAATTAGTTTTTTATTCGAAATTTTTCTAACAAAATTATTTTAGGAATGATTTTTAACTGAATAATAATTTTTTTTAAATAATTTTTAAAATTAGTTTTTTATTTTCGAAATTTTCTAACAAAATTATTTTAGGAATGATTTTTTTAACTAAAAAATTTTTTTTAATTTTTAAAATTAATTTTTATTTTTCGAAATTTTTCTAATAAAATTTTTTAGGAATAATTTTTAACTGAATAATAATTTTTTTTAAATAATTTTTAAAATTAGTTTTATTATTCGAAATTTTTCTAACAAAATTATTTTAGGAATGGCTATTTCAGCCACTTATAATTTTTTTACTTAATTTCAAAAATTAGTTTTTTTCTTGAAATTTCTCTAACAAATTATTTTAGGAATGATTTTAACTGAATAATAATTTTTTTTAAATTTTTAAAATTAGTTTTTTTTCGAAATTTTTCTAACAAAATTATTTTAGGAATGATTTTTAACTAAATAATAATTTTTTTAAATAATTTTTAAAATTAGTTTTTATTTTTCGAAATTTTTTCTAACAAAAATTATTTTAAGAATGATTTTTAACTGAATAAAATTTTTTTTAAATAATTTTAAAATTCGTTTTTTTTATTTTTCGAAATTTTTGTCTAATTTTTACTATTTTTAACTAATAATTTTTTTAAATAATTTTTAAAACTTAAGTTTTTTTTTTTCCAAAA